CAGCACTGCCAGTGGCTCAGGGTGTCCCGTGCAGCTGGTTCCTGCGTAGGGCAGGGCAGTCGGGCTCCTGCTTGGGCTCTCCCGCTTGGGCTGTGTTTTCTTACCCTGCGTGCTAAGAGGACCCTCGGGGAGCACTTCTTCCTCTCCAGTGCCTGGGGGCTCTGGAAATGAATTATTAGAGTTAGGGACAGCCTGCTGAATGCTGCTGGAGTCATTAGGAGCTCATTAGAGCATTAGCTGTTAGCGAAGCCCGAGCGCAGCTCTCCGCTTGCCTGGGACGGATCCTTCCCAGCCTGGCCAAGGAGCGGGGGAGCCTGTCCTGTGCCGGTGGGATGGGGCAGAGACAGGCCAGGAATGGGTCTCTGACCCCAAACTGGGGCTGGAGGAAGGATGCTCAAAGCAGATAGCAGGAGCCTTCCCCCGCCACGGTCCCTCCTTTCTTCTTGACCAGCAGAGTGAGTCCCTGGGGCCGGCGCAGCTGGAGGGAAGGAGCCTCACGGCTGGGCACGGGCTGGTGATGACCGGTGCTCCATGGGCTCCTTCAGGGGTAATTACAGACTAGGCCATTACAGTATTAATTAACTGTCTTTCTCTTAACCTCTGAGCTCTCCTCAGAAGATGTTAGTTGCTATGAAAGAGGAAAAAATTAGTGTGTTCAGGTGGGGGGAATTATCTTTTTTTTCCTCTTGATCAGCAGGAGTCTGTTTAATTGGACTTGCCATCTCCTACCTCCTGCTGCTGGCAGCTTTCATGCCTTTAAATGATAGATGAGCTCGGCTCCGCAAGGAGCCACAAGGTGACCGGGCTGGGCATGGGCAAGGATGCCGGGGCAAGGATACTGGTCCCCCAGCTGGTGCTGGTGATCTCCGCTTTATGGGGCGGCAGCAGCAACGCTCTGCCCCGAGGGTGCAAGTTTGGGTGCCCCAGGAGCTGCAACGCTGTGGGGGGAGCACGTCCCTGTGTTCCCCATCCCTTTGCTGCCTGCAGCTGGTGGACAGGACCCTCCTGTGGTGGTGGCATCGCTGGTGTCCCTGAGGTTCGGTTGGTGCCTGTTGCCTCCTGATAACGCCGAGATTCGCCCTGGGCGTTGCTGGTGGGGAGGGGAGCTGCTCACAGGGGCCAGGCTCTGAGACGGGTGTGCAGGGAGGGGTTTGCTTTTCAGGGTCTTGCTGCCCCAGGGGTTGCAAAGCCAGTGTGACTGGGGCTGGAATTGGGGTCGTTTGCTGCGGGGTGGTGCTGGGATGGCCCCATGATGGTTTGGTGCCTGTCTGTTGGGTTTGCGAGGGCTGGTGCATCCCGTGTGCTCCCGGGAAGCAGCAGTGGGTGTTGTCCCTCTTTCCTCCAGTTCTCGTCTGGCCACTTGGCTTCTCTGGCGCTTGCTCTGCCACCTCTGGACCTCTGTCTCAGTGCTGATGCTGCCTTAGTGGCCATTCCCCTTTTGTTATTCATTTATATTGCTCCAGGAAAGACTTTATTTTCTCTCCATAAAGTGCCTCCCTTGCAGGCTCTTTGCCTCTGTAGTGCTGGAGAGGTGTCTGGGAGCATCGCTGCCGGCGGCTGAGTTCAGGAGCAGAGCTGAAGGGCACCTTGGGCGGGAGAAAGTCCTTTTCCTCTCTGGCCCATACTGCTCCACCTGCTCCCTCTGTGTCCTTACCTGTCCCTAGTGCCCGTCCTCTCTGCCCAGGATGCCAGCGGGGGACACCAGACTCCAAACCCCCGGGGAAGGGGGGAGCTGTGGGATGCTCATGGTCCCTGCCTAGCTGCAGCGCTCGGGTCTCGCTGGTTGAAGTGGTTTTGGGGCTCCCCTGCCTTTGCTGGCAGGGCTGGAGTGTAACCTGGCTGGCAGCAGTTTGGGGCTTTGAGAGCCGAGGTGAGAGCCCGCTAGCTGCCTTCGAGGGGATGGCGTGAGAGCTTGCAAGCAGAATACAGAGGGCTTCCTGAGACATGGTCTGAAAGGGTCATTAATGCAAAAGCCTCTTTATTTTAGAGAAACGTGCAGGTTTTAGTAGCTTCTCTGGTTCCTGCCGAGTCTCTCCGCTGATTAAAAGTCCGCTGGGTGCTGCGAGCCCCTTTCCGTCGGTGCCAGCTAGCTCGGTGGGATGCTTCTGCTTACCTGTTGGCAGTGCGGTAAGCCGGCGCTCCCGCCCCGGGACGGCAGCCTGCGGAGGAAGCAGCTGTTTTCCACTGCCGAGATGTATTTTTAAATCAAACTGAATGGGAGCGTTTTTCTGGGCCGGGCAGCTGGGGGTTGAGCGAAGAACCACCTGGGCGCCCTTCCTGCCCGGCCCTGGGCGCTGCTGGAGCTGCTGCCGCCGGTTTTCCCCACGGCATGACTGAACGCCCGTGAAATGCCCCGATCCGTGCCGAGCCCATCTGAGCTCCCTGCAAGGACAACTTCTGCCCGCCCAGGTTTTTTTTGCTCAAATCATCCTGACCCCCGGGGCTGAGTGAACAAGTTTGGAGGTTGGTGCCTCCAAACCACGTTATTTCTGGTGGGCGCAAACCCTCGGGTGCCGTTGCTCCCGCTCGCCCGTCCCGTGGGGCGCGTGCGTTTATTAGCAGACCTCCTAATGCCGGTATTTTTGTTTCCCATCCTTGTTTTTGCAGCTCCAGTTGCTGTGGTATCCAGGGAGCCCTCCTCCTTCTGCAGGAGATGCACGCTGGTCGTTGCTAAGGTCGCCTCCGCGGTAACATGCACATCCTGTTTACACCTTTATCTGGAGAAGTTGGGCTCGGTTAGAGGCACCCGCTTCACCTGGGCAGCCCCCAGGGAAGGGGCCGCACCGAGCATCCCCTTGCCGGAGCCTCGAGGGAGGGCGCTGCAGGAGCCGCGAGCCGGCGTCGCCGCCACCGCGCCGGCAAGATGACGAACAACGTGGCCGACCACCACCCCGGGAACTCGGTTGCTGAAGGCAACCATGAGGGGGACTTTGGTTGCTCCGTGGTGGAGCTCAGGAACCTCATGGAGCTGAGGAGTGCCGAGGCGGTCACCCGGCTCAATGACTCCTACGGCGGCGTGCAGAATGTCTGCAAGAGGTTGAAGACGTCGCCAGTTGAAGGTAAGTGGCCGTCCTGTGGTCTGCAAGGTGGGACCACTCGCTCGGGTCCGGCCGGTGCCTCCGGGCTGGAGCCACGCGCGGTTCAAGCTGGTGGCCGGAAAGCGGTGGCTCAAATAACTGTCTTGTGGCTGAGCTCAAAAGCGTGGTCCCATTGCACCGGGCATCCCTCGCAAGCCTTGTGGGAGATGGCTCCCTGCATCGTAATAAGATGATCATTTAAGGTAGAGAAGGAAGAAAAAGAGAAGCATCTTCGCTGGGGGTTCCCCCGAGGCGTAGCCCAGAGCCCTGCGTCCCCTGGGAGGATGGAGCAGAGGCGGGATGCGGGCAGGGGTGAGGAGCTGACGGGGCGTAAGAGGGGCGCGGGGGGGGGCGCTCTCCGCAGCCCAGCG